GGCCCCGACCCATCTCGCGCGCCCGGGGGCGGGGCTCCCCCTGCGGGCCGCGGGGGCGGGGCCGGGCCCGGCGTGAGGGGCGCTGTGACGTCACGCGTCCTGAGCGGGGATTTCGGGTGGGATTTGCGCTTTTTCTGTGAGTTTTTTCGGAGGGGTTTCTGTTTAATTCTTTTCCTGTTCGCGACACTGAGGGCAGTAAGAGAAGTGCGGACGCGATCAGTAATAACTGATGAGCGGCTAAAGAAATTCGAAAAAGAAGAAAGACGTTTTGCTTGGAGTTTTGAAAGGCTGTATAATATAAAAACATATTAATAAGAGATATAATAATTGCGATAATATTAAATAATAATTATTAAATTTTATAATAATTGTTTTATAATTTTGTAGCAGAAAATATGTAAATGCCAATAGGTCAATCCCTGGACACTCTTTGGTTTGTTACGCTTGTAGTTAGGAAAGGGAAAGCAAGTGTTTGAGGCCTCCAAAAAAAATCACAGAAGGGTAACCACAAAATTTAAAAAAAGAAAAAAATAGACGAAGTTACAAAAAGGCAGAGCTGACCTCTTACTTTGCCCACTGTGTTCCAGGGGACCAACAAACACAGCAGCAAGAGGAAGTGTGAAAGAATATTCCACGAGCAGAACATGGAGAGGAGACAGCAGCCTTTTTGCACCTCTTTGCAGCTGTAGAGATGTAGCTGTGTGTGGGGGCCCATAGAGGCAGGAAGAGAACTGGTGCCCTGAGAAGGAATACTTAGCCAGAACGCAAAATATTTTTCCTATACTTGGAGATTTCAAAGGGATTGTGATTCAGGATCTGTGCAAAGGTTGCTGACTCCATTTCAGCAGTAAAATGACAGAAGGAGCTCACAAATCCACAATGAAAGCGTTATCAATGGGAATAACTGAGAGCAGTGATTCAGGACAGGCTTCCCCTGTGCTTGGCAGCATCCCTGCGAGCCCACACCTGGATATCACACTGTTATCCTTGTGTGCCATCCCCTCACCTTTGCTTAACCTTCCTCACATGGCAGAGCTGGCTTGAGCACCACAACCACTGCTGTGCTGGCCTATGACCCTGAACCCTGTTTTCTGTGAGAGTATCCTTGTGTCAAAATCAGGGTGTGCTACGCACTGGACATAGCGGTAGCAGCCCACAGAGAATTCTTTAATGACCATTGTAAAGACAGTCAGCAATTGGATTACTATAACATTCTCCTCACCTGCCTGGCTTCCCGTTGCCCTAACATCACTCACTAAGAAGTAAATAACCGGGAAGCTGAATGGCAATTACATGGAAATGGAACATGCCCATGTTGTGTCATCATCACTCCCACACAGGGCATTAGTTAACAAGGAAGAATTGCTCAAATTTAGGATATATGGTTCAAAGAAACTGGTACAGCTCAAGCCTCCTTTAATTCCTGCAGGTGAAGTGGGTCGCCATTTTACAGGGATTGCTGTTAATCCAATGGAATTTAGGTAGGAAGGAAAGGAGGACAACAAGTTTGGTGTCTCTCATTGGCTCGGCTTCAGGAGTTTGTGAAACTGGGTTTTAGTTGCCACTGGGGTGTCATCATAATTTTCTTGATTAAAAGTATTTAGTCCCCTCCTGAGAGAAATAAACAGGATATCAATATCAGTAGAACCCTGATGAATAAAACTTCATTATAAACTGTGTCAAGAGCTTTGCCTGATTTAAGGAGGGGAGTTGGGGCTTTTTAGGCTTCTTCCTTGGTATGCAAATGATGTCCAGATCAATTTGTGATCTTTTTAACATCACTGTAAGATCTCCTGATCTGCACAAGGATACCCATGCCACTGATCAGTGTGCTTCAGCCTTCCACTTACAGCATGGCATCTTGTTGATCCTTAGTCATGTCCAGGAATAGCTTTTTGTCCTGCTATACCAGGCTGAATGTTGAATTCCACTCGGGGCCAGAAGCCACAAGACATGGACCATATACCCCAGGAGAATGGGAGGGTGTGGTTTCTTCCCAGGCAGGGAAGAAAAATGGTTCCTGAGGCCTTCCACTGCTCCCTGATGAATAGAGTTGGGCGTGTAGCTTTGACCCAGCCACCGTTCTCTCCATAGGCTTGAAATACAGGGACTCTGATGAATGATCCCCTGTGGCAACCCGATCCTGCTGCCACTGTGCCAGGCATGGACCGGCAGCTAGACCACACAGGAGTTCACGCTGCTACCTCTTCCCCACACTCTTTATTGGAAACCAGTGGGCTGTATGCTGCTGTTTCCA